ACATACTAGGCAAGAGTACTATGATTGGCGATAGTGGAATTTGGTAAACCCCTCATATTTACTCCCTCTTTCCCCCTTCTCTCAGCACCCGTTCTATTTATCTCCTGTTTCGCCTCATCTTGCCCCCCCCCCCCTCTTTCTCTCTCTCTTTCTCTCTCTTTCTCTCTCTCTCTATCCCTTTTTCATTCCCACATTTACATCCCATCTTACAGTACATAATAATTAAAGCCTAAAACAGAAATTTAATTTATTTGTTTTTAATTAATCTATTGGACGTATCCTAAGGTCATATGAGGCATTTCAAAACTGACACAACAGAGTTTCTTTAGATGGATGTCTGAAATTTTACACAACATGACGAAAACACACATGATTGCATTAGTCGGACTGTGTTATATCCCAGATGGAAGGAAAATGTTAATGCTTTATACCATAAAGATATGAGTCCACAGTCCGACATTAATAGAAAATAATAGTACATGAGAGAGAAAATGAGAAAAGGGCTGGCATGGGGGAAACCACTGCGCTAAGGAAGGAAAGTGTGTTCCCCAAGAAATTGTTAACTATTTAAAGCTTCATTCCTTTAATAAACTGAAAATTTACCTTTACGATCTCTCATAAGGGGGCGAGGGCGGGGGCGGTAAAGAAAAAGTTCGACTGGTAAATAAAGAGAATTGTAATAATCATGTTGTGTAGAAAGATGGCACTGTACGGTAACTATAGGGTCAAAATTACAATACATGTTTATAACCTTATATGTAAAAATAATAATAATAATAATTAATCGAAAAGTAGCTAACATAGGGGCAACCGTTACAAGTTGGTACATCCCATCCCCGTTGTATCCTAATCAATGGTCATTTTATTCTAGCCTTCCAAGGGGAAAGCGTGCGTCCGTCCTATTTTGGATATGGGATTTGGGGTGAGTGGGAAATAACTTTTTATTTATAATAATTTCAAAGTGAACTCAAATGTGAATATTCTTTACATATCTGTCGTTTTCTATCTAAATTTATTTCGAATAATTAGGTTAATTAATAATATGTATTTCATACAAATGAGTGATATCTAAACAAAAGTAACTTATTGTTTTCTGATAATGACAAAATGCTCAGCAAAATAATTGCCTCTGATTCAGGAAGCTATCAATTGTCAAATTACAAAGACCGTATTAGCGGCGTGGATTAGTACGGCTGTTTCAACTATGCCGTAATTATGACTTCATCGGCAATTGACTCGGTACCTCAGTTATCACTTAGCAATTAACAAAAATAGAAAACTTTCGCAGCTTTTTCAAATTTCCAAGTAATTTTAATTACAAGCACATTTTGAGTAATCTTGATGATACATAGAGGCGTTTGGTGGTGGAAGGGGGTGTGTTTTCGGAATTAATGAATCACGCGATCACTATTATTTTTTTTAAGATTTTAGTTTTTACATATCATAACATTATGCTCTAGTAGGATATTTGTGTTAATTGAGTTATCGTTAATGGATTTGGGGGTGTTTTAGTGATTCGCTTCACTATTCAAGTCCTAAATTTATTTCCAATAAAAAGAACACAACAATATATGCATCGGTTTATATTGTATGAATTTTTTTGTCTACTTTTTCTAGAGGACGTCACTTCAAGACGACCCATTTTTTTTATATTCCATGTCATTAGCGTACATCAAAAGTTATAAGATTGTGAAGTTATGTTATGTTGATGTATATAGAATAGCAATATACCATATTCCGTAAATATTCAATATATGCATTAAAAAAACATGGGCATCAGGTGAGATTTAAAGCTAAACTATGATAATAATATTTTTTTTAATTAAAGAAAAAAGAAACACCTCTTTTAGCTTGTCGGCGTCAGGAGTCCAAAAGAAGCAACGTAAATACACAGATGTTTTAACAAAATAAATGAGTTATAATGATGGCGCAATGACATCACAAAATTAACTGATTAAATTGTTTTAAAGGGAAAAGGGGTCAATTTTTGGAATAGGGGAGCTGAATAAAATGCCATATCTTCGTTAGGGTGTTGTGGTCTAGTGAATAAGTCAAGGGACTGTTAATTAGAAGGAACGTGTTTCGAATCCCTGCTACAGACCTATATTCCATTCACAAGACATTAATCTACATTTACCACACTTGACCCAGTTGAGTTAAATGGGTTCCTGGCAGGAATTAATTCCTTAAAATGCTAGACCGCCACAATAGCAGTCATACTACACACACTACTATAATTATGGAGCGCCAGGTATGTCTAATGTAACGGACATGAGCACTATAATTATATAAGAGACAGCTAATACCATTACCACGTATAAAGCCAGAATAATATAATGAAAATCCGTTGGATTGTTAAGTCCATCCTGTATAATAATATAACACTTATTATTTCATTATCTCTTGACGGCAAATGTACCTCCCGATGAGTAATATACCTGTCACACAATCCCGGCAGACAGAAGACCGTATTCCACTTGAGCCCTCCATCGAATTCCATAATGAAGTACTTCCATATTGCCCGGATAGGGAAAAGTCTATTGTTAATTTGTTTGTTTATTGTTGTTTTTTGTTGTTCGATAATGTTCAATTTTACTGATTCCGATATCTGGACTACATCCGTCGATGAATACAGATTCGTCAATTTTTGTTGGCATCTGTGGCGGAGAGAAGGTTAATTGTATATGCGTGTAGGGGGAGGGGGGGGCAAAGACGGGGGGGGGTGTGCGAGATGAACGAAACACCATAAAGCGGGTCGTGTCATTATTTCATGCGTTATCTCCCCCTCCTCCCCCCCCCTCTCTCTCTCTCTCTCTCTCTCTCTCTCAAACTTCCTATATATTGTTCTCGCTTCTATTTGCAAACGTTTGCGCCTTTCAATTGGGAGGATATGGACATGTATCATCTATTTCCCAACCCGTGTCTATGCCATTGCACATGGTACTCGCAGTGGCACAGAGAAGATTACACACGCTTTGGTTTTATCCCGTCTTGATTTTGGAAATGCTCTTTTGTTGAACTTACCTCAAAATCATCTTGTATGATTACACAAATTACAGAAAGCTGATGATCGTATAGTGACCATCTCCAACGTACACAGTCACATCACATCACCTCAAAACTACATTCGTTGACCGTGATAGAACGTATTGTTTTAAAATTATTTTGCTTTTATTTCATTATTTCCTTGGCTCTGCTCCACATTACAGTATAAATCTGATAAATCATTACATTCCGTCAAGATCTTAACGCTCTAAAAAAACTCCGGATTTCATTGCGTACCCAAGTGTCTAAAAATAATGTTAAGACGGATCTTTTTAATTCGGCATATGATTAATTGTTCTTCCATTTTTGTATGTTCTATCTTACTCATGTTCCATTGCTAATAATGTGCGTTGATGAGATCTGTTTTTTGTTTTTATTTCACAAGTGCGCCTTGAGCGTTTGCTTTCAAGCGGATTCGGTGCCTTACAAATCCCAAATATTAAGTTGTTATTATTAAAGGTAAAGATAAGTTTTGGAAACGCCCCCCTATCAAAAAATGAAATGAAGCTCTTATTTCCAATCATGTGAAAGAATATGTTTTGACTAATACGTGAGCATACAAATTTTGCTGAGAAACCGTCTACTAATGGATATATTTGTTAAATTAGTTTATCTATTGGGATGTGATAGATATTACGCACGTGTCGCGTACATGTGCGTAGTCCCATATACATCTTTCTGTGTACAGTGCTTATAACTTTACCAAGACTGGGCCAAGTTTCTTATGATTTTGATGAATCCAGAACCTTGCAGTACACACCAATACTTATATGCTAGATGATCAACCTTTTCTGATCGATTCCACACCGTTTATTTCACAATGCGATCGCATTACCATAACTGGTCTTATCTTTAAAGTCAACCCTGTACAACGCTATTTCATTATCTCTCTGCGCCATATCTACCTCCCATGAGTAATACACCTGTCACAGATCCACGGCAGACAGTGGATCTCAATGCACTTGAGCTTTCCATCAAGGCTATAATCAAATGCTTCCGTATTTTCCGGACAGGGCACCCAAAACAACAAAAAACAGTGGTAATTTTACTTTAAGAATGAACACAATGTTTAGGGCATAAGAATGTCCAGCCTCTTAAACAATGGCGGATAGTTGTCCAGTAATTTTGATCTTCTTTTTTTTTTTTGGAGGGGGGGGTGGGGTGGGGGATGGGTGCAAGATGAACGATTCTTACTCTCTCGTGTTGTCAAAGGGTTGTGCCTTTTACGTAAAAGCGTATAAGTATCACATATTTCCTAACCAGTGCCTACCCCATTTTATATAATTAGAAATGCCATTTTCAAAAATAAGAAATAACAACAGATAAAGTTTACTAAACGGCTACTCTGTAATTAATTAAAAACACGGCCAGCCGTAAAATACCTTTATTGTTATTTTGACGCGATCCAGGGCCATAAACATTCAATATTGTTCTGATACCGTGGTGTATGAGGGCTAGCTTCGGAGTAATGCATAACATTTTTCGGAATTATGAACCCTATGAAACATAAAAGACCAATTTAAAAAACCTCCAGGTAAGCAAGTGACCCCGAGTTATGAACACTTTCTCTTGGTGCCCTGGATAACTCAAGTCGTACGTAACTATAGAAACCACTTGTGGCGGAAGAGACGGGAAGTCATTTGGGTCTTACATCATCAAACATTGCTCACATTACAGATCCAATGTCTTCTCCTCCTAAACAAACCAGTCCCTGCTGAACTGAAGAGTAAAGGAAATTTAATTATAAAGATGGTGAAAGGAACGCTACAGAGTTCGAAAACTTTAGGCAAATTGTAGCGGTGATTAATATACAACCTTTTTTGCAAGGGAATGTGTTGTTACAAAATTAAAAGATAAGGAAAAAATAATGATTGAATACTATGTTTAAAAAAAATCGATTGAAAAGAATAACACATATAGGAGCGAAATGAACAGATAAGAATATGCTAGTTGTATACGTGTTTTCATAATTGTCTTTATTATGAAGTTTATGGCAACATCAATTGTGTATTGTGCTGATGACAAAAATATAAATACTTTGCATTGAAAAGGATGACCGTGTTAATAATATCGATTGGTAATATATAAGAAATAAACAGAGAGACAGAGGAAGAGACATAGGGTGAGACAGAGGGTAACAATGGGAGAGACAGTGGGAAACAGAGAGATGGAGAGAACAAAGAGAGAGAGAGAGAGAGAGAGAAAGAAAGAGAGAGACAGAGACAGAGGTACAGAGACAGAGGTGAAGAGAAAAATGTACGCATACATACTTGTGTAGACATATTTCCTTCTTATCAATGCATTTTAACCGAATATATCGGCATATAATTTCACAGTATTTTTTTAGCAAAGTCTCTGCAGTGAAAATATCTAGGTTAATAATAATAATAATAACCTAGACTTATATAGCGTATTTCATCTTCGAAGAAAATAGCAATGCGCAATAGGTTCATAAAATATTCTCATGGAATACAATTCTGCTCTAAAATGTATAAATAATATTGCACAATTCATGAAAATGTATTCATGCATGGACAAAATATTATCGGCATTATACTCAAAACTAGAAATATGAATGATATAGATGAAATTCTCCGAGATGATCTAATTGATTTCATACATTCAAAGCTAATATACAAATAGCCATATATTGCTCTATTTCTCGGAGACTTATAATTCTCAGAGTCTATTGCTGTAACAGTTTGAAAGCTTAATGGGCTAATATATATATTACAGAAAATATGTACAGTATCTGGCGTCGGTCCTTGTCTAGAATAGTTTAGAATAATTTTCAAAAATAGTTGTGATATCAAGCAATGTACAGTTGTCTGCTAGTAGTTATTTTATCAAGAAGAACTTTTATCTTTCTTTTTTCCAATCGTGAGACGTCTCCAATTTTTTAGCATGATTTACATTGTTGACCAGCGTTTCACAAAACTGTAATACATTGTAAGTACAAGCTCACCGACATCCCATTGGAACGCGTGTATTTAATTTAACACGCGCTTCAATGGGACGACGGTGAAGGTGTAGTTGGTCTTGTGAAACGCTACCAAGGCCTCTTTTTACTTAGTGTGCAGGCACAGACTCTCTTTCGACATTCAAACAGAGTTGAAATAAGTCTCTGGTCCTGTCACTGAAACAAGTCATGAGCAGTTACAGTACAGGGCCTATCGACTGCGGTCCTTGCATAGTCTCTTGGTTTGGAGCCCCTGTTTTGCATGGCGACTGTCATGGGTCTGTGCCTGCACACTACTGTCTACTGTCCACTGTCTGATGGTGTAAAGTTTATCCCATGATGCAGCGGTGATGGCGCCATTTTAAAAATGTTTTCTCTTCATATCATTATGACATCCTAACAAGACAAGCGGCCCGATCATTGGCGAGTATAACGCCTTGTAGACTCCCTTGTCCATATCCATGACATCGCTGTTTTGTGTCTGATGATACGAAGAGAAACATCTTCTGAACATTGATGGCTCAGTCCTTCTTGATGCTCTGCACCGAACCGATAGATATTTTTTCCTTACAGTAATCATATAGTAGGTTGATCGTTTTGAGACATGGTCTCTTCCACACCTAGTCTCAATTTAGTCTTCTATAACCAGCTACGATCGCTAGGAAGGTAGATAGAAGAACAACGTGCAAGGAGCCCAACAGACGAACATCTGAAATGAGAAAGATGGATACAATGATACATCAAATACGACCAATATGGTTAGATAATCATAGTTCACGGGTATTATTGCATAGGTTTATAGAGAATGGAAAAGGGTGCTTTCTGCCCATCCAGGACATACCTCAGGCAAATGCCTCAACATGAGCTATAGGGAAAGAAATATTACCCTGATCATGGCCGACGGCTAAATAATATGTATAGGGTCCTGCCATATCGGGTACCCATAATACTAGTAATTTTATGGCAAAGGATTTTAGTGTCGAGCTGGAATTCGAACCCTCAACCCCCTGGATTGCGAGTTAGGTAAATGAACCCCTATAACACTGCACCTCCACGACACCATTCCCTTATTACTTACCTCTACTGCGGCCATCCTTGAGTAACATCCAGATAGGTTCATCCCTGATTTGATAGATGGTGATAGTTCCGCTGACCCGTCCTGTTACCATCAGTTTGGGCCTCTTGTCAGCCGATTTTTCGGGAGGAATAAATCTGTGTATGTGATAAGCAAAGATATGTATTCAATACATCACAGGCGTAAGATATGTAACGCTTGAAAAGTTTAAAGCCTGTCTGCACTAGTGTAGCCAGGAGGGAGCATCCAGGTGCCTGATTTTGGGCCCTAGTTGAAATTCAGGGGGCAGAGTCCCCGGAAGTTCAGGGGTTTTAGGCATTAAATTACCGTCAGATAAGCATCCAGGTGCCTGACTTTGGGCCATAAGTGAAATCCAGGGAGCAGAGCCCCTAGAAGCTCAGGGGTTCTAAGGCATTTAATCACGGTCAGATGAGCAATTTTTTCTTGGGAGGTGGGGGGGGGGCTGGAAATTGGAAAATTACGTCGTCAGATATTTCGTTCAATGGCTGGGCGGGGGGAAGGAACACTTTTTTTTTTTTTTTGCTTTCTTTAGCACACACACAAATAAAACTTTCCCCTTTTTTTCCTTCTTTTTATTTGCCAGGGGGGCCCGGCCCCCGGGCCACCCCCGGATCCGCCACTGAACTATAAGTAGTGCAGTAGGGCTTTAAGGTATACGATCTTTGGTCGGCTGATTACGCGATGCTCCCCATATTTGCTGTGGCGACAATCGCTCCGGGCTATTATTTTATCAAAACATGGACAGAGAGGTAGAATTATGGTTTAAAGGGTAGTGACTGGGCTAGGGTTCAAATTCGTTTTTTATGTCAAGTGTAGGGTTAGTGTTAGGGATTGGTAAAGGGTTGGGTCCAGGGTTGAAATTAGGAATTTGGTTATTGTAGGAAATTACTGCAGAGCAATTGCCGTAGGAGGAAGTGCCATACGACCAATAACGCAGACGGGACACATCAGCAGTCATAAACACAAAGCAAAATATTTGTAAAAGAGCTTTTTCCTTGTAGTTATACAATTTAAACAAATATAAAAATTTGTTTATCTGCTTTTAAGAGACCAGTTAACCCAATAACCCATTTAATACCGATTGTAAATACTTCAATTACTTTATTTATTTTGTATTATTATTGTTAATTTACGCACATCCTGATTGTCATGATCTTAACATCATTTCAGTTTTCAGGCTTTACACTATTATTTACCAAACGAAAATATGGATGCAAAGGCTGTTTGCGTGAATTCTATATGGATAAATCAAATCATACTATGTTACTTTTGATATAAAACACTAAGCTACAGGTAGCATTGAATGAAATAAAATGGAGCCTTTAGTCAATATTTAACCGTTTGTTTGTTCTTACAATCCTGTTGGCGAATCATTCTGTAATGAAGAAAGCATAAATTTAGAATTGCATATTCTACAATTAATTTTTACAACCAATATGTTTAAAGACTTACACTGATGAACCTACACTTTTGAATATATTCATTTTCCTGGCAAAGGAAATTGTTTAAGTGTTTATTAAAAATTACCGAATAATTCCTACTTACGTTATAGACTCTGGATCAGAATCTCCGAATTCCTTTGTCCTGTAAAGCTCCGAGAAAGATTTATCAATATGGCCATCTCTGTGAATTGACTCGAATATCGGTAGATTTCCATCTGGTGGGACGCTGAAGAGGGCGATAGCACTGATCCTGTCAATACCAACGAAGATGAGTTTTGTGCCCTGGACGTCGCCAATTTCAATGGATTCACATTCAGGACCCTGGAGATTATGATGGGAAGAGAAAAAGAAGACAATGATGAAAATATAAAGAAGTAAAAATCGGCGGTGAATGAGGAAAAAGGGGAACGAAGGTTTTGTTTTCAAGTGAAGTTAAGTAATAAAGTAACCGGGGTGACGATTTCTTTTTATAACGGGGGGGGGGGGGCATGTGATATTATTTAAGATGTCTCAGAGCGAGGAAGGGACCGAGAGGGTAAAGCATTTTTGAATGATGAAACAATGCGTTCTAGAGCACTTCTGAGCCATAGTGGTGAGATGTTGCCCTTGCTCAATTGCTATGCAGGGTAGCCTCACCTTCCTTTTGCGGTCTTCACTTACATCAAACCATATTATCTTGAACCCTCACCTATACACCTAAAATTGTACTACTAATTTAATGGTAGATTCACATGTGCCCCTTGGTATTATACTCATGAATAATTTACAATTGCATATTGTTTAATTGTATTATAGTGATTCTATATAGTGTATTTTTATCATGTTAATACTATTCTAAAAATATTGTGCAGTTGGTTAAGGGGTTGTCCGAGAAGCGGGAAATACGCACCATTTTGTCTGACTGTGAGTCGAATGTGCTGGCCATGGTAAGACTTGGATCTCCTACCCTGTTGTTACCATTGTGCATTTTAGGAAGGTACTTAGCTGTAGCCTTCTCGATGATGTCACCACTGTCCCACGCGAGGGTCAGGTTGCCGGTCTGTCTGTCTACGCGGTAGGCCGAGATACCACGGCCTCCGTAGAAATACACGTCATCGTGCTTCAGGGGTTGTTCAGTACTGCGTCCATCGATACGACTGAACTCAAGATTGCCTGGGTTAAATTGGAAAAAAAGGAGTAGGTTAAAGTAAATATCTTTAATGTTTTTTAGGTATTGATGCGTTAAAATTAGTCAATTTATTTTGTACATTATCAAAATAATAAAACATTCAAATAAAGTAGCACCACGAGTGACAATGCGCCAGACAAGAGCGATATACAAGACTCCACTATCGTTATTATTAAAATCATCATCACCTTATATCTGTTTAATTGCTTTGACAACTTGGCAAGGATAATGCTTTGAATTTAAAATTGTTGTCGGCAATTTAGCATTTATACAATGGGGACTTAAATAGTACAATGGCTGTAGCCTAGGCGAACACAAATTTCGATAAAATTCTCCCTTCCTGATCTAGGAAAAGACAAACACCGCTGTGGCTTACTTCGTTCCATCGGATCTCCGCGTCGTGTGGTTTAACGAACAATCGTAAATAATCATGCCCTATATACCGAAGCGTCGGGTGAAACAGTTCTAGGACAATTATAGCCCAAGGACAAGGGGGTAATTGTCTTCGGTGGGGGGGGGGGGGGTGGTTGTCCCCGGGGATAATTTTTCGGGGATGATTGTACAGGGGGTAATCGTCCTGATACGGGGTGAAACGTTTACACCTCTCTTGTCAGTTTACCCGACCCGTTCTTGAAAATCTGCAGCAAATCTACGAAAACTCGCGTCTTTATCCGAAGCTTTTTAATACGAGATAAATAATCACAAGAGTTCTCAAAAAATGCTAGCGATTGACACTTCGTTATTGTTTGATTGTATGGCATGTTTTCACAAATATACATGTAGAAATGTTAGCCTTATCTCAAGGACCACATTTGGAAAGAAATGTGATCATTTGCTTTCAGTTTACCCACACCCTGAAGTAACCGACCTTCGTGGTTATGGGGTATGTTTTCACAAAAGTTCATGTAACCCGATAATAAAAAAACGACACAAAGACCCTATGAACGGAATAAGCCGTTTTTGTTTAAGGCAACATATGAGTACACAGATTCCTAAATACCAAATCACAATGTTCACAATCATTTGGCCCATAATCTTTATCATGTTGATAAAGTAAGAAGCAAGGAGAAAATGATGTGAAAAATGAGAAGACTTACCTAATCTAAACGCGTCTAACATTTCTGCATTGCTGACCCTCTCAAGTAGCTTTGCAGTTAACCAGTAATCTAGGAATATAGAAAGATGGGCCGTTAGTTTGACGTCATTACACAGCACAACAAATATCATGTTTAAACATCCAGCCAGACAACCTTATGCCCTTTGCAAAGTAATCCTAATAAGTCTGACATTTATCAACAGAAGTAGTGAATTGTAAATCTGAAGAAGGAACTTTGCAGTTAACCAGTAAGCTAGGAATATAGAAAACAGACCGTTATTTTGACGACTGTCATCATTATACCATATAATTATATCGTATTCATACGTCAAGTCGGACAACTCCATGCCCTTTACGCTATATTCTGAATAATACGGACATTTTAACACAGGTGGATTGTGCATATAATAAAACCTAACGACTTTTATTTTTAAGGCTATTTCAAATTTCTCAGTCGGTGGCGTAATTACAGTATTAAAATTTCTCTGTTAGTATCCACCTATTAGGAGATCCATGTATATGGACCTAGTTTCCCCTGCTCTTGATTTGTAAAGAAAAATGAACGTAATTTATAAAAGCCAGGGTTTATTTCTTTTATGATATTCTTCCAAACTATTTAACTATCAACTATAGATACCTTCTGGGAACTCGTCTCCCTTTTCGAACTCGACGAACTCTCCACCACCCGGTGGACAGGCATTAAGATTACATGTGTATTCAAGCTGCTTGCCCTCGTTGGCTGTCACGATATAAGTCTCTCCATTGGCTGCCGTGTACGACTCAATCGCATCGGGCTGACGGAAGCTTTCGATGTCATACTTCTGGAAACCTCGAGCTGGAGGCAAAGAACAGGAGAATGGGTCCATATTTTTTTCTTCAAATCAGAATTAGTCTGACAAGCCAGGATGAAAGGATTAAATGTTATTTTGGCTCTGATTATTTTTTATAAAAGCTTAATCACCATCATCGTCATCATCCTCACATTATGGAGATTATTTATTTTCGGGTAATATAAACTATTGTATTGAAAGTCTAAGATTTTAAAGATTTTTTTAAAAATCAAAAACCTGCCACACTAAAATGTTCAGGCTAAATGACGGGCGCTATAACAAACTCGCATGCAGCAAAGGGCAGGAGGGGGTGACAGAAAAAAATTGACGAGCAATTCTGCTTCGGAAAAACGACACTTCCCAAGTAACATTAAAAAGAGTCGTATGGTTTCCAAATGAAGAAGAAATTCTCTAGGGTGAAAAAATATCCTCAAACTTTGGAAACTGCAGACCAGGGCCCCGTCTCATAAAGATTTGTGATAGGTCCAAATCAATCGTAAGTCCTCCAATCAATCGCAAGTTTGCAGTCGCCATCTCGTATGTACACTGTTGCGATTGATATTAATCGCAAAAAAGTTGTGATTAATACGACGGAGCCCAGGGTTAAAGCAATTCCCCAAAATGGCATCTTTGCCGACATAATTTTATTTTGAGGGGGATGGATCTCATACCCCCACACCCTCACGCCCTATAATGCCTTGTCTTTAGTTCTCACCATTGCCAGGACTAGGATCCAGATCATATCTTTTCCATTGCTTGGCGCCAAGAGGATGGATGCCTGTGATTTCATTGGCAAACAGATCAACACTCGCAATGGCGTTATTTTCCTGTAAGAACAAAAAAAGAACCAATTTATATCCACCGATGTCATACTTTCAAAATAAACTATTCATTAAGTTAATACGTTCTACTTTATTTTTCCAACTCTCTTTTCAAAACTGCGTATCAGGAGAACTGTCTCTGAGTCGATTACCCGCCCTACTGCTCACATAAACATTGCATTAATGAACATTGGAGAACCCCTATACAACATGCTCCTATTTTCATTAACCCCCGGGTATTTAAATTCGGGAGTAGTTGTCCGAATGGTAGTTGTTCTAGAGAGGTTACTCAAGAATTGAGGTCTATATTCCAAGGATGGTTGTACAGTGGTTGAGATCTAAAAAAGAAGTTGTCGAAGAATATTGTCCTACAAACTTTTATATTGGGCTTTCTTTGTTTATCCGATATATAAAATCTTTGATATGCTTTAAGATAGCGAGTAAAAAATGCCGATAACGTGAGCCACATGCAGACCGCTCTTTAATTCATTTATAGCGCTAGTGTAACGATAGTTTAAAATATATCCTACAGGTTATGCAAAATTTAAGATACCCATTGCCGCCGGGATGGGAGTAGCTTAACCCTGACATCATAAGCTTATGGCCAAAGGGCATTTAAAACAAAATGTATTTAATGACTTACCTGAAGACTAACATATGCAGTGGTTTCCATGGAGTCAAATGTCACGTACTCAGGTTCAAGACCTTGTGAAAATGTATTAAGTTGCTTGTCACCCATCTGACCAGTGTAGGGCTGTCGGACTAGCTGAGACTTGAACCAATCAGCCCTGAAACGACAAAGAATTTCAAATATTTGATCTAAAATAGTATATATATACGAGGGCGAACTAATAATTAATACTACCAACCATCTATAATTCACTTTATGCAGTAATACGTCCGATATCTAATGCATGAACCTAATGTTAATATTGGTCATAGGACGACTACTTCTCAGACTAACATGTACCTAACGAATGAGAAAAACAAAAATGTACAAATTACTGTGTAGGGAATTGGTAACAGTTATGATGACCCCCCCCCCCTCCCCCTCCCCAAGATTGTGACGATTTTCATGGTAATGATCCAAGACGGATAGATCCTAGTTTTTTCTTCAAAGGTCATTCTCTAACAGGTAAAAACATCAATTGACTTACATTGAAAATAACATATAAGAAACGTCACGTACCATGCTCAACTGTATACTGAGACAAGCTTTTTAGCTCTTTCAATGTGAATGTGTTTGGATACAAACCCTACGAAAATATTCTGAAAAATCCTCACAAACCCTTTATAATATGTTCGCGTTGCCTGAAATGAATGTTCTTTTTCTTGCTAAATTTGAATCGTGTTAATGCAAATGATCTGAATGACTCTATACCTGGGGCAGTGTTAAAGGTACAATGTACCATCTTCATGCCAAAACAATGTCTGTTTGTGGGAAAATACCGACCGTTACTTGTCGAATCGAATTTAGCGATCGCGATCGTTTAATTTATTAGTCTGATTTTCAAACCCTTGTACCAAGTGGTCGTTTGTTTTGTGCTACGCAAAGATAAAATCAGTTTAATTTGGCTTAACACGAAGTGGGTTATTGATGTAGACAAATGCTCACATACCCATTACAGCTCATTTCATGTATGTTATTACCAAAGAAAAAAAAGAAGTCAGTCAGTCACTCAATAGTGTCTGACAGTGAAGTCTAAACAGTAATCGGGTTTACCTGTATAATCTGAATACCAGGACCCTAGATACTAACGTTTAAATTTCACCGATAAGAAATACGTGACATATTCATAATTCCTGCAAAGTTCTACAGAATTGGATGTTGGTTGCAAAAGGGATACACTAACTTTAACTGACGCAAAACTCGAAATAAAAGATAAAGAGTTATAAATCTTATGCAGTATTCCTGCTAATAAATATAACAGAACAATATTAAGAAGATCAGAATGTTTGTAAAATTCAATTATGTAAAACTCTTATTCACAAACATCTTTTGCACCAGATTTGCATCTGGGGAAAATCTCAATTCAAAAATGTATTTTTCATAATTTAAAAAAAGGTTCTTGATATTGATAACCGCATGGATAATGAAACAACTGAGTAAGTGTCTAAAAGAGTATTTTTTATTGAAGCCTCCTAGAATAATTGATGTACCCACCTTGCGTTAAATTTGGTGAAATCCAATGTTGTAACGGTTGGGTTAAAGTTTCCACCACCAGAACAGGTACCTCTGCTTGTTGTCACTCCTCCTTGAGGGGGCTGTCCATTTGGGTTCTGCCCCTGCGGATTCTGATCTCGTGTATTCCCTCGCCCAGGGACCTGGGGAAACTGGCCTGGTCTCTGTCCAGGTCTTTGACCTGGTCTTTGTCCTGGTCTCTGCCATTGTGTCTGTCCCTGACCTTGTCCTGGATTGAATCCTGGTCCTCTGTTGGGAGGGTTCATACCGTGACCTCCGCCGCCTGGACCCCTGGCTGGGGTCTGGGGAAAGGTTGGTCTTTGAGGTGGTTGCCATCTTGGTGTCTGTGGTTGCCACTGCGGTGTCTGTGGTTGCCACTGCGGTGTTTGTGGCTGCCAGTTTGGTGTTTGTGGTGGTGGAGGATATTGTCGTTTCTATGTGAGGCAAAAATAATCTGCTTATTCATTTATATGCTTATATTGACATATTCCATGATTTAGACTATATTTGCGAGAGGATTTGCCTTAGATCGCAAGGTGATTAAAAAAAGAAACTTCCAAATTTACGCGAACGTCTCCGCCCTTGTCCACAATTAAAACAAACTTAGAACAGATTACGAACTTGCAGATTTTCTTTTGAACCAAATACAATCCGTCTGACCCACTTATCAAAGGAAATTAAAAAGCCACAATAAATAATTTGGAAGCAGTATACGAAATGTGATAGCCGTTTTTAGATTCATCATGATTATTGAGTGATTGAATCAAGGAGATATTTACAGCTCTGATTCTGAAAAGGAAAAGAGTATAATGTTTAGTCTTTATAAAAACACGAAGACATTTTTAAAGGGATATAAGATTTACCTGTCGGATAAGGTGGCCAAGCACATGTTGGATCTGCCACGGGCCCTGTCCAGGATTATTAGAGGGGTTGTTTGGTGGAGCTCTTCCTCTAGCATTAGGTGTATTGGTCTGCCCTCTGTTCCACCCGGTTCCCCCTGCGTTTGGTCCTTGATTGGGCCCTCCTTGATTAGGAATCTGTGGATTTCCTCTGGCACCTCCTCCTTGAGGTCCCTGGTTGTTCCATCCAGTTCCTCCTCTATTTGGGCCTTGGTTTGGGCCTTGGTTTGGTCCCTGGTTGTTTCCTTGGTTGTTCCACCCAGTTCCTCCTCTATTTGGACCTTGAGTGGGTACTCTACCTCCTTGGTTTGGGCCTTGGTTGTTCCATCCAGTTCCTCCTCTATTTGGTCCTTGGTTTGGGCCTTGGTTTGGTCCCTGGTTGTTTCCTTGGTTGTTCCACCCAGTTCCTCCTCTATTTGGACCTTGAGTGGGTACCCTACCGCCTTGATTTGGACCCTGATTGGGTACTCTACCTCCTTGGTTTGGGCCTTGGTTGTTCCATCCAGTTCCTCCTCTATTTGGTCCTTGGTTCGGGCCTTGGTTTGGGCCTTGGTTTGGGCCTTGGTTTGGTCCCTGGTTTGGTCCCTGGTTGTTTCCTTGATTGTTCCACCCAGTTCCTCCTCTATTTGGACCTTGAGTGGGTACTCTACCTCCTTGATTTGGACCCTGATTGGGTACTCTACCTCCTTGATTTGGACCTTGGTTGTTCCAGCCATTACCTCCACCTCCGTTCGGCCCTTGGTTTGGTACCCTACCTCCTTGGTTTGGGCCTTGGTTGTTCCATCCAGTTCCTCCTCTATTTGGTCCTTGGTTAGGGCCTTGGTTGGGGCCTTGGTTTGGGCCTTGGTTCGGTCCTTGGTTTGGGCCTTGGTTTGGGCCTTGGTTTGGGCCTTGATTGTTCCATCCCTGTCCACCTGTGTTTGGTCCTTGATTGGGACCCCGTCCTCCTTGATTTGGTCCCTGGTTGTTCCATCCAGTTCCTCCTCTATTCGGTCCTTGGTTTGGTCCTTGGTTTGGGCCCTGGTTTGGGCCTTGGTTGTTCCATCCCTGTCCACCTGTGTTTGGTCCTTGATTGGGACCATTTCCCCCTTGGTTTGGACCCTGGTTATTCCAGCCTCTTCCTCCCCCATTCGGGCCACCCCCATTGGGTCCCTGATTGGGTCCCTGATTCTGTCCATTATTATTCCATCCATTGCCTCCTCTGTTATTCCAATCAGGTTGACCGTTGTTTGGTCCTCCATTGGGTGGTCCACCTTGACCATTGTTTCCCCATTGTCCTCTCCCGCCTGCGTTACCCCAATTATTCTGGTTTGTTCCTTGGTTCCCCCAGTTGTTTCCGCCATTTCCTCCTCCTCCTTGTCCTTGGCCTTGCCTTTGATGCATTCTGCCATACAACCTAATGATGCTCACCGTACCTTCGGGATTTACCCATTGTGAAGCACTTCCTGTACCGGCTACATCAGCAACTCCTTCGTTAGCAACAACGATGGTGGAACAATCCTTCGTGAATCTGATGCTCTTTGGCCTGGATCCAACTGTAAAATTTATGAAAATAACAAATCACGTTAGTAAAATCTACACCATCCCCATTTCCTGGTATAACGGTTAAAATACTATTTGAGGCATTTTAAAATCCACCAAATACGAACCACCTGTTTCGCTGTTTTAAAATAGTTTGAGAGATGAGAAATTTTGGGTTTCAACCTGGGGATATTTGTATTCTCTTATGTTACGGACTCTTTTTGTAAACAAAAACAAAAACAAAAACAAAAACACAAAAAAATCATTAGAATTACGTAATTTCCAAATGATTTACTTAAAAGGAAAACAACATGGTGTTTTATAAACAGAGTCGAAGTATTTATTGAAGCCTTGATGGACATCGAATCAAAACCTATGATACATTACAATAGCACATTAAAGTATGCATGCCAGTGGGGGATCCTTAAAGAAGGAAAAGAAGATGAAAAAGAAGAAGAAGGAGAAGAAGAAGAAGAAGAAGAAGAAGAAGAAGAAGAAGAGAAAAGAACAAAAATAATACTGTGACGAAAAAAAAAGAAGGAAAAGGTCAGGAAAAGACAACTGAGAAATGAGAAAAGAGGAGAAAGGAAAAAAGGAAAAAAAAGTGATGAAATCATCCCTTACCTATAAATTCACAATTTCTGTTCCACTTCCGATCGACCCTTGAGAACTTATCATAGAGAACTACCGATCCACTGTCTGTAATCTCCTGACCTTCTACAGCCCATGCTACATAGCGCCCGCACTCGGCGATATCCGTGACAGGGCGTGGTGAATCGAACTTGTCCAGGATCTTGGGAAAAAACATATCCGCAAAGTCGACAACGTGGATCCATTGTTTACCTGAAAGAAAAAGAAAATAAATGAAGTGAAGACCAAAAAGTTAACACCTGTCAAGAAAACGTAAACAAGGTACTATTCATAATTAATCCCTGCATATCGCTAAGGGTTAACTAAATCATAGGATGTTTGTCTTATTATCAGAGGAAAGAATGCGAGGGACTATGAGTCGTCGTCGTTTATTCTTCAGTCTGTCGCCACCTTCCTCTCTCTATAAAGGAGCCTAATTAGGTACAAACTATTTCGGAAGCAATTTTTGCTTCTAATTTTTCGAGATATTTCCATAAGATGCTAAAAGATGAGATCAGGTTAAAAAGTAAGCATATATATTTTAAAAGAAAAGATTAAAAAAAGCATTAAAAGGACAGTGAACCAATTGCTAAGAAATAGTCCGCACGGGTGCCAGGTTTTGCCAAAACAAACACAAATTTCTTTGAGACTTTGCCATATAAATCCTGGCTAGGGCATTGCCGTGTTTTATATAGCAATTTATTTGAGTAAAGTATAATTTCCTTCTTGGCAAAAAGTCCAAAGTTCTAAAAATAACCTCATAATCCTTGATACCAATATTGATGTCATTAAAAGAAAATTTGTATCGAAAGGTGTTTCTGAATGAGATATACAAGGTTGAGTCTATAAAAAGAAAACAGGTCTGTTCTTTGAAAAGTTTATTTGTTATTCCGTCTTTCTTCCACAACACCGCTTCCAACTACAATTTCTCTGGATACGTTTAACAAAGTCAAAGTTTATGAAAGAAGCTTAACAATAAAAAATTTTGTCTTTGTTCACTATACCTGAGTTGACAACATGTTTTTATATTCATATATCAAATAAAAATGAATTCCTGATAAACCCAATTCATAAATCATCAATTTGTTTTATTACTTGACCATTATTCCACAGGGACGTTTTATTTGGGTTATAATCATCCTGCCCATATTTATAGATAATAGTTGAGCCGCATGAATTATCCCAGCCCCGTTTATATAATTAGGAGCACTAATGTGGTGCCCTAGATTTGAATGTTGGACTATTTAAGGTTAATCCTCAAGCATTTGCTACTGCACCGAGTGCCTCACTGACCATGGCATGACAGTTATTCCTTACATACCAAAGGTTAAGGTTAAAGCATGTAACCCAAATCCATTTAATTGCCTTTTTCCGGTTATACTAATCATTTTGCGAGGTGGAGTGGTATATCACATATCCATTTGGTAGCGTTATCAGGTTGAATAGCGTCTCCATATATCTTACGTGACCTTCGAAATATTGAGGGTCCAAGAAAAAGATTCGCTAATTTGTTGTTTTTGTTAATTTTTCATAGATTTTGAAGTTTGAGATCTGTGCCAAGTACATTTAATACAATTATTTTTAATGTTTTGAGAAGGATATTGAATAATTTCATATTTGTCAACTGTATAATTTTTAAGTGTAGGCCTATTTGAATGTCGAGATAATAAACGATATCGTTTAGTATATATATATATATTAAATTTTAGTGATCCAAATAGATTACTTACATTATGCAGTGTATTTAAAAAAAATCCTTCTAGAAAGTGTACAGTGCCAAACGTATTTAAGTAGAATTTTTGAAGAAAAGAATATATATATATATATATTTGGATTCCACAGCAGGTGGAAAACATTAAAAAAAAATTATTTGCTTGTTGGTCATTTATGTACAGGTGTGTTTATCAAGCGATAACTTTTTCTAATTTATTTTTAATTACAGACTTTCCCATTCCAGGAGTGCTCTTTTTCCGACACTATGCCACTCTGGAATGAATACATATCATTATGATGACAAGAAAGTGTCCACATAATTTAGACATTGTCTCTGGAGGAGCTCGAAGATGTATGGAAATTAAAAAGAAATAAATAAAGTTTATAATTCCATTCTCACTATTTCAGAAATTGGGCTCTTTATTTCATTGTCATTTAATGTTGGTTCATTGATCATCAATTTATACCTGGTTTGTTTAACCCGGAATTTTAAATAAATCTCAAATATATTGACTAGTAACACGACTTAGTTAACGATATATTCACCGACTGTCTCTGCATGACATCTCACACTTTCTTCTCGATTAAACTATATACCCAAGTTAAGATCGACAAAGGACTTTTAAAAGTATCCTTGCAATGGCTTCCCCTTCATAATAAGTTCCCCCTTCTCGTTAATATCTCATGTATTAAGGTTGACATGATTGATGTGTCACTTCCTATTTTAGTCAGACCTCGGAAAATCTAAAGGATAAGGAGAAAGATCTTCATAAATGTTCCTACGTCACATTCTTCTAATTTTAAAAGTCTTGTAGGTCCTACATCCATTGGCCCTATACCCAACTTTCGATCCTCTTCAAAGGACTAAAACTATTCAAAAGAAAACAAGAATCCCAAACAAACGAGAAGCAGGAATAAAACAATAACTTTTAAGTTGATGTTGGCGATCTCCATTTCGGGTAGTTTTTCTCTACACACGACTAGAGATTTCAATAAAATCAACAGTACTTGATCTATTACCGTATGGTTTATTATAATCTAACATTCTTTATTCATTTTTATAACTTGTTTCATAATTTGATTGAAAGCAATACAATAATGTTATCGCCTGTTGCTTACCTAAAATTATCAATTTACTAACGGTGTGATATATTCAATTTATGAACCATAAATGTTTAATCATGAAACCTTCATGATTCTGTCTGTTTTAAATTGGGGAGGTGCCCGAACTATAATTGTCTCTGACACATTGGTTCATTAGCAGAGTTACATTCGGATGGATGATCACTATGCTGTGATTTAGGAGGATACACGTTTAATTGACGCTTCCCACCTTCTCGATAATGCGTCTACAACCTACCATTACGAAGATAACATTTAATGTGTATTAATTTCGATCTCAAAATTGCCAAATGATACTTAATTATTGAAATATTTTAATACTTAAATATTTACACAATGCAGAGGAAAATTGACGAATCATTAAAATACATGCATTTTATATGATTGAATATTTTATGTCAATAATTACGTACAGCATCAAAATTTGTTGAATTACATGTAAAAACTTTTTTTTTTTAACTTTATGCGTGGTGTATCTTTTATAAATCGAAAGGTAAAGTGATGAAATAAGCCTATTTTGGGTTTTGAAATATAGTTTTGTTGACCTTGAAAATATATATATATAAAACATCGGAAGGGCTAATTTCCAGGAGAACTGATTGAGGAATGAAACTGAGCTGAATGATGTAGTAATATGAATTTGTAGCTGTCTCGAGTTTGATGCCACCAGCAAAACATTTTTGGGGTAAAAATCAAGCGCTTTGAGAAGAACAAATAACAATGTTTTGTAGGACGAGATAGCAGTTTAACGACCATTCATTAAAAAAAAAAAACAGTCAACTCTCCCGTAATCCCTTTCCCGCCCCTCTTCCCTGAATAACACTTCCGTTTAATCTAATTGACTAAACTAATACAGTCATGTACGTTTGTAAATATAATTTGTTTGAAGTGAATGAATTGTTATCGATTGTTTATAGCTTTAAGTCATAATGAGATATTTTATGAGGCCTCCGCAAGTGTTGGCAGTGCAGGCACAGACAGTTTATGATTGGGTTATTCTATGCAAGGCACACACACATACACACGGACGCATATATATGCAATTGAACGGAAGACTAAAGAAAGATATTTCTTCAACTTATTTCAGCTAGAGCTAAACAAGTCTTAGTTCAATATAAGAATTATGCGGTTATTATATGAATCTGCATGCACAATATATTTTGATATAAATGCGTTTGCTCATACAACAAAAACACATTACAATATAGAGATTGACATGCCATGCTTTCGACTATGATGTAACAATACATAATATGATCAATATAAATCATAACAAATGGGGTATCATTTAACAAAAAGAATTAAAATACTTTCTCAAAATACTAAATATAGCGATGGTTATGCCATGACAAGAGAGATATAATCGATCATCCTTGAGTTTCCAAACATCTAATGAGGGGTTTAAATAGAAACATCATTCACTTGTCCCACACAGTGGTAATTCATTTAACCAAAGAAGGAAAAAACATTGAAACTTATATATAAACATCACCTGTATTGATGAAAGATATGTAAATCCTGGCAGTGTTCATAATCATAGGTCGGTCTAATATACTCTTATCTAATTAGGAAAAACACAATTTATCTTGCCAGTTAATCATAAGGCCTTCAAATGCAGAATGTTGGCAACATATTTACTTTTAGAGATGGGGTTCCACGATATTTCTTGTTGTATTTTAAGCACCGATCTCATGCACAGTCTCCAAAGCTCACACTTAAGTTAATGTTTTTTTTATAATCAATATTAATAATAATAACGTTTTATTTAACCAGGGTAGCCACTTCAGTTATAAAACTGCTCTCCCAGCGGGCCCTGCATAACATAACATGTTACTATTACCCTTCTCCAATCTAATATGCTGAGCGCCTAGCTAGAAGGCAGAAGGTTCCATTGTTATAAGTCTTTGGTATGACTCGGCCGGGGATCGAACCCACGACCTTCCGTTCATGAGGCGGACGCTCTAACCATTGAGCCACCATGCCCGGTTAAATTCTTAATAATTAGGGGATAATTTTTTGAAAAAAATATCCATTAATGATTATGATATCAATAATGATGATAGTAGTAGTACTAGTAGCAGTAGTCGTAGCATGATAAGTAGTGATGATTATGATAATAATGATACTACTACTACTACTAATACTGATAATAATAATGATGATAATAATAGTAATAATGATACAATAATAATAATAACAACAACAACAATAATATTAGTAACGATGATATTCGTAATAATGGTAAAATTGATTTTAGTAGTGATGTTAAGGTTGATATCAATAATTATAATTATAACAGAGGTGTCGTAGTTGAGTTGGGCGGTTTCAACACTTGACTTGAGATGCGAAGGTCGTGGGTTCGATCCCCAGAATTGCAC